GCACTCTGTTTTTCAACACAAACATGGACGATTCGGACTATGAATGCCAGGTAATTCATTGCGTTTCCTTTGTTGATCCCTGATTTCTTCAACATCTGAGGTTTTCGTCTGAGCATCATACAGTTGCTTGTTGAGTCAGTAACCATAGTTTGGACTAGTTTTGTCACTATTCCGTCTTCATGTTACAATTATCATCCCCAGTTTTCGCGCTCTCCGCTAGGAACGCCTGGCACTATGACCCACCAAGTGCAGTCTCGCCCTTTCCGGAAGTCCGAGTAACAAGCAAGTTATTATCAAACTGGTTTCTATTTCTCTCTCACGGAGAAACTATTCCGTCATGAGAAATCGTGTATACGCATATATCTGAATCGACGTAATTTAATTGAATAAAGAAATCACACTCGTGTACCCAATTTTTCGGTCTGATTAAAGAGTTCGAATGTCATCATCTTGGTTTTCTATGAAGAACGAACAGTCACGTGATTAAACTGATGGCGAACTACTGGAAGGAATGGAATAGTCTTCTAATTACTCATTGCAGTTATTTTCATTTTTCTTTCATTTTTCTTTTCTTTTTTTATAAATATATTCCAAGCTGACACCTGAGTTTGTTTTAGTTTAATTTAATTTTTGAAAATTTTATTTTACATATTTTGTTCATAATTATTATAATTATTTGATGTTCCGGGATGTTCCGGAACGTTCCGGAGTGTTCCATGTTCTGGTTTTATCGTGGCCCCAAGGTTACGTTCTTGCTTCTGATTTGCACAGTATCACCCTAAAATAAATGGTTCCGAATCCATTATTTTTAACGTAAGACGATTTGGCAATATAGCGAAATGGGCTCTCCAGGGGAATACTCCCATATAGAAAGGAGGGTGTGCTCATGGGGAGTTTTGATAAGAAGCCTCAAGAGGTACTTAAAGATCCTGTTTTGTTTGTATGGCTTGAAATGTTTTCATCCCTAACAATCTCCTGTCATATTTTTTTGGGGGGTCAATATCCTAAAAGGTACCGCAAATGCTTCTGCTGTGAACCTTTTGATGCCAAACACCCTAAGAGGTACCAAAACTGCCTTGTTAACCCCTAAAAGGTACGACGAGCACCCCTGTCCTTTTTACTGGGGGGTTTCCCCGGGATGGACTCACAGGAAGCAAACGATCATTGGAGCTGCGTTTGCCTATTACCGTGAATTGGCCAAATTTTAAAACAAAATGAGATAGTGATTGCAAAAGGGCTTGTGCAGGTCAAGTTGAAATATGTGAATGAGTTATTATGAAACATGCATAAGCTTTTATAAGCTTACTTATATATGTACATCCACCCCTCCCCCCAAAATCAGGGAGGACATCCCCCTCCCCGATTTTAGGGGAGGGGCAGATATACACAGGCTAACTTGTATATTCATAAAGCTTTAATGCATTGCTAAATTCCATAACTTCTCATCACCCCTTCAATTCTTGACTTTTATTTGTTATCTATTGTAGTCTTTACCTTCCAATTCCCCATGGTGATGAGCCAAGACAAATGATTTAAAAATTGAATTATAGTATATTGGTAACCTGTGCCCTTTAACAATAATTTAAGCCTTTG